GTTTATTAAAAAATTGCTAGTCCCCGTGAAATGGTTTGTTTCACTTCAACACACATTTGCCGAGATTCTTCTCAGTGCCAGGCCCCATGCTTCAGCCGTGAAAGACGTCCCCATCCAGCAGATGTTCCCGATGACAAAAGGGAATTGAGGATGAGTCACGGTCCCAGGGGCCTAGCCTGAGGCAGAATGGGGTGAGGGTGCATCAAGGATGCCTTCTTGCAGGAGTTGGTATCCTTATTGGGATGAATAGTGCCTCTCCCAAATCCATGTCTACCCAGAACGTCAGAATGTGTCCATAATTACAAACAAGTTTTTGCAGATATGATAAGGTAAGGATCAAGACGAGATCATACTGGTCAATGGGCCCTAAATCCAATCAGAGATAGAAGAGAAGGCCATGCAATGATGGAGGTAAAAACCAGAGTGATGCGGTTGTAAGTCAAGGATGGCAATGTTTTCAGGAGCCACCAGGAGCTGGAAGACACAGGGAAGGACCTCCCTTAGAACCTTCAGAGGGAGCACAGCCCTGCTGACACCCTGATGTTGGACTTCCAGCCTCCAGAAGGGTGAGAGAATACATTTCTGTTTCTTTAAGCCACCAGACCTGTGGTAGTTGGTTATGGCTGTGCACTTTGGGCTCATCTTGATTAGGGCTCCAGGGCAAATAGCAAGGTAATCATCTTCCTGTCACATCTCAGACTCTAAGATCTATTTTTCATTGTTGTCAGATAGATCCACAATAACCCTTTTGAAAGGTTAGACACCACCTGTTCCTACCTGATTTAAACCCGATGGTGTCAGGGAAGGCCTGTTTTCACCGAGAGCAGGCCGGACACTCCAATGGTGCTTAGGACCCATTTACATATGCGTCCACTGAGTCATTCCACAAATATGTCAGCATCGTCTGGGTGCCAGGTACTGATTGAACTTGGTCTAGTGGTTCATAGGGAACCAGGCTCTTAACATTGCCCCCTAAAGAGCTCCCCTTCAGTTTCATTCAACACGTCTCTATGATGGTGCTACAATGTGGAGGAGCTGGAATAAAGGGAGGAAGGAGACAATGGTTGGAGAAGGCTCCATAGAGGAAACAAAGGCCGGGGGAGGCAGGGAAAGGCATCATAGCAGAGGGAATAGCATATGCAAAGGCACAGAGGCATGGGCATGCAAAGCATGTTGGAGTGAGGCCCGGGGTTCAGACATCCTAAGAAGGACAACGTGTTGGAATAAAACCTGTCACAGTCCTGTCCTCTGGGGCATTACAGGTTTCTTTTTACAGGTGGCAAAAGTAAATTTACCTGATTGGGGATTTTTGGTTTTAAATACTTGGATACTGGGGACTTTCTGTTGTTCACCAGAGAGAGTGGATGCAGAAGAGGCAGGGTCACAACACAGAGGCCACCTGGAGGGGACACCAGAGGTCCCAGGTCAGGGGATTCACCTTCAGAGCCACCACTGCTCACGGGGAGAGCGTCAGGAAGGGTCTGAAAGGGGTGGGGCCAGCATGCCAGCAACTCCGCCCTCCCGGGGCCATGCTGCCCTGCCAGAGGACGGCCCATCTCGGACAGGGAATGGCCTGCTGGCGGACTTCTCCCAGGACGCCTGCTGAGCTTGAGGTCTGGGCTGGGCAAGGTTTCCGGGGCCCCATCTCCCACTCTCCCTGCTGCAGCTCCTTCCGTCTGTCACTACTGCTCTGTCAGGCTCCTGTCCTCTTCATGGTTTGTGTTGGGACGGGGTATTTGATATTTTTATTAGTGATTTTTCCTGCTTAGACCTCGCTCTGCTTCATCTCCCCTTCCCTTGCTGCCTGTTGAAATGATTCATCGGGAGAGTTGACATTTTTTAACTTAAAATGTTTTAGTTTAACTGCTGCCGGCTAAATATATTTTGACCTCAGCTCTGTACCGTGGCTCTCTGCTCAGCTGGGGAGACCAAGGAGGCCTGGTGCCAAAAGCTTCTCTCTCTTTTTGGACTGAATCCTCCTCAGCAGATCGGAAAGGATGCTGTGTGTTCCAAGGGTTGTTTTGCAACCAGTGCAGATAGGGGCGTGGCCAGTGGGGTGCCCCACTGTGTGACTGTACCTGCCACAGAGGTGTCTTATCGGATTCACGAAGCTGGCCGCCACGTGTCCAATTGTGTCTGGCCCAGGCGCCATCTTTCTTTAGAGAACCCAGTGGGCAATTTACATAGTTGTTCTCTGCCCAGGGGGACTTGGATGAGCTCTGAGTAGCCACTAAGGCTGGCAGCTTATTAAGTACTGGACGGAGACCGAGGAGTCAGGGTGTTAGCAAGTCTCTGACAGAAGAACTTAGGGAGATACCAGAAAAAGTTTAATGACAGCAAGAGTCACACTTTTAAAAAACATATGTTTAAAAAGGCATGTTTTTATTGATTTCGGAGAGGAAGGGAGAGGGGAGAGAGATAGAAACATCGATGAGATACATGGATCGACTGCCTCCTGCATACCCCTACTGGGGATCGAGTGTGCAACCTGAGCATGTGTCCTGACTAGGAATTGAAACATCAACCTTTTGGTCCAAGGGTCGACTCTCAATCACTGAGGCACACCTGCCACTTTTTTAAATGTATTTTTTAAATTGATTTCAGAGAGGAAGGGAGAGGGAGAGAGGAACATTGATGAGAGAGAAATATTGATCAGCTGCCTCCTGCACGCCCAACACTGGGAATCAAGCCTGAAACCTGGACATATGCCCTGACTGGGAGTTGAATTGCCACTTCCTGGGTCATAGGTTGATGCTCAATATTTGAACTACACCACTGGGCAAGAGTCCCGCTTTTAAAATAGGATCCTTTTTAGACAAAGCTCTTTTTATCCTCCAGGCTTGAGCAAGGCAGGCCACGCCTCTTAGTCCCCCACCCAGACTCATCAAACTCAGTTCAGGATGGTAAAGAGAGAGAAAAGAGAGGACAGGATCAAATCTGAGTAGAGGATCTGGGCTGCTTCAACTGGTGCCTACATACATGACTCTGTAGATCCAGCCTCGATATTCATTGACTAATTATTAATCCATTCACCATATATTTATTGAAAATCTATATGTATGTGGCTAATACTGAGACTAATCCTGGGAATGCAGAGAAAAGGGTGGATGTAAGCGTCTAGAGGGAAAGACAGTAATTATAAATAGGGTAAGAGTCTCAAAGATAAAAATACAAAAAGTAGCCCTAGCTGCTTTGGCTCAGTGGATAGAGTGTCCTGGGTTCAATTCCAGTCAAGGGCATGTACCTTGGTTGCAGGTTCCTCCCTAGCCTGGGCCCTGGTTGTGATTCATGCAGGAGGAAACCAATTGATGTGTTCCTCTCACATTGATGTTTCTTTCTGTCTTCCCCTCTCTCTTCCACTTTCCCTAAAAATCAATGGAAAAATATCCTCGGGTGAGGATTAAAAAACAAAAAATACAGCAAGTTTGGGGATAATGGGAACATTTAATGGGAGAGCTGACCCAGGTTGAGGTGCACGGAGCGGGGGAGAGGGTACATGAAAGACCGCTTTGATGCAGTGACTTTTAATCTGGTATGTAAGGTATAATGGAAATTGGGTCAGATGAAGCGGTGAGAGAGGTGAATATTAGGCAGGGGCAATTGCACGTAAAAGGCCCTCAGACAAGAGATAGGAGGGGGAAATAATAAAGATCTCTTGAGCAAGGGGTGAGGGGAGGCTTCTGTCACACATGAAGTCCAGAGCATGGATCTTTGGTGCCAGACTCAGGGCAGCAAGACTCATTCCAGATGCTTCCATAGTGGGGAGAGGACTTTGCGTACACTGCTGGACTGGGACAGGGCTGGCTTGGATGGGGATGGGACCAGCTTATGAAGGTCTTCAGTGCCCGCAGATGAAGTGGTTTTGACTGCACTTTATAATGACCTAGGATGCTTTTCAAAACTACTGAGCTCTGGGCCCCGCCTCTGAGAATCCCCATCTGTCCCTCTCCAATGGGGATGGGTCCCATGTTCAACCATCTTCCCAGGTGATTGCAATGTGCCTCCAGCTTCAGCTTATTCCTGCACTTGGGATTGGGCCCAGTGTGGGAGGCACTTGGAGATAGAGAAGGCCACAGGGGAAGTCAGCCCCAGCACTGGGAGGGCAATAATTGCTGTAATCTCTGAAGGAATTCGTTGGCTTTCCTCAGAAGAGCAATTCTCATAACATTTACCAAAATGAAAATCCTGATTAATTCTGCAGGTTTATAGCTCCCAGAGGCTGGGGAAAAAACATCTCTTGGCAAGAGAAGCAAACTTTATTCTGGCAGCACAGACAATACTGCAAACACAAGACATGGAGCTGCACATACTTTCTGGAATTCCAACGTGCCGCATCCTTAGTCTCAGAGACACCAGCCATGGCCACCACTCATGCTGCCACCTGGACCAATGGCTTCCAGGGGCTCTTCCCCCTCTTGCTCCCAGTCTCCATGGTGTTCTGGGCAGATGTGGCTTTTGTCAGCCCAGCGTGTCTTCCTTTGGGGAACCACTTCTATGCCATTAAGTGCCATTCAGATAGGTTGTCAATGATCATTAACCCCACCTCTGCCTGTAGGGACGCCATCCAGGACTAGCCAGTGATGGTAGTATGATCCCTGGAAATAGTGATTGGCTCAAGAGGTTGCATGGAATTCAGAAAGGGCTAAACAGCATTGTTTATTTCTTTTTAGGGTTAATATATGGATAGTGGTAAAGTTTCTCCTAAAGATGCTAAGCTAGAGAATGTGAGTCTGGATTTGTCCTCACAAGGTGTGGAGAACAAAGCCAGGCAGAGAGAGAGAGAGAGAGAAAGAGAGAGAGAGAGAGAGAGAGAGAGAGAGAGAGAGAGAGAGAGAGTTTGTCAACAGTAGGCCTGATTCCAGGCCTCTAGACTCTTGAACTTTGAGTCTTGTGAGCTCTTGCTGCATCTCTTTAGGGTTAAGCTTTTTGGAGTTGGGTTCTGTCTCTTGCAACAAAAGCATCTGGACTAGCACAGCCGATATTTTGGTTTCTGATGGACCTCAGGAGAAGGTGGAGGTGTGGGGAATGCACTGGAGAGTGAGGCAGGCGTGGTCAAAGAGTTTGTGAGGCAGCTGTCCCTGGGATGTCCAGGTGTCTGTCTCGGGGTCGTAGCAGTCAAAGGAGGCTGAGTCCTCGATGTTGCAGTCCGTGGTCAGCCGCCTGCCACCTGTCACGTAGAGCTTGCTCCCCATCACCGCGGCCCCGTGGTGCATCCTCCGGTCTTTCATGTCTGCACATTTGACAAATTTGTTGGACTGAGGGTCATAAGCTAGAATCCTCCTGGTGTAACCTGAAAGCCAAGTGGTTTATCAGCAAGGTCAGCATTGTTCATTTGGGAGCAGAGGTCAGTGGTCTGGGAATGTGTCTGATCTCTGCCCTCCCCTGACACTGAGGCTGGAATCTGAACCACAGCATGGGATGTTTTAATAACCTGCCCAAGGTTTAGTGTGCAGCAGGGATGGGGTTTGGCCCCTGCATCCCTAACCCCAAGTTGGGGCGGCACATAGCCCGTTTTCAGTGGGGAGCAGCCTCCTGGTTCCAGGGACTTTCTCAGTCTCACTGGCTTCTTCCTCCCTCTCACATGCTCTCTCCATAGCTACAACAATCCAAAGAAGGAAGCTTTGGGAACTCATGGGTCCCCACAACAACCTTATCAGGTGGGCCCTTTGAGGATCTCCATTTTACAGACGAGCAAACTAAGGCACAATCTGCACTAATAGAAGAGAAATATGCAAATTGACCATACCTCCACAATGCCCACCAGCCAATCAGGAGTGAGCATGCAAATTAACCCAACAAAGCTGGCAGGTTAATTTGCATACATAGACACAGAGTGGTGGGGCAGAATGCCTGCTCTGAGGGGAAGGACAGGGGCGGAGGGAGCTTCAGGAGCAGCACTCTGGCCAGAGAAGACTAAAGGCTCAGGCCGGAGTAAAGACTCCAGCCATAGCAAAGATGGAAGGCAGCAGCCAGAGTGAAGGCCTGGGTCCCGGGCCTGGAGGAAACCTGGTGCTGGCAGTCAGGGGAAGGAAGACCTGTTGCACAAATCTTCATGCAACAGGCCTCTAGTAGAGTAATAACTTGCCAAAGAGTATACAGTCAGGGAGTGTCAGAGACAGGATGTGAACCCAGATCTGCCCCATCCCCAAACCAGTCCTCTTAACCATGACACTATACTGTGATTACAGAGGAATGATCCATCAGTAGCTAATATTAACAAGAGCAAACGTGTTTTGAGTATTTGCCACGTGTCTGGGAACATGCCATGTGCTTTCAATACGTGAGTATGTTTTATTATCACAACAACTCTGTGAAATAAGGCATTATTTCATTCCTGTTTACAGAAAATGACAGGGAGAAACTTCTGGAGGGGAAAGGAACTTTGTCAAGTTGTCCACACTCCCTCAGCTAGAGGGATGTGATTTTACAAAGACAGTCTTGTAGAACAACGTCCGTCTATTAGTGACCCTTTTTCCATGGGAGATGCCAAGTTGTGTCCAGCCTGGCGATTCTCTCCTCAAACTCACCTCCCACGATGACAATCCGCTCCCCAAGCACCACTGCAGGGGCACACACATTCTTGATCATTCTCGTCTCCATTTTGAACCATGTGTTTCTGGAAATGTGATAAACCTGAGGTGGAAATAGAATCATGGCTCTGTATTTTAAAGTGATATTTTTAAAGACAGAAGTAGTAATTAAGCCCAGGAGGTGTGGCTCAGTTGGTTGAGCATCTTCCCATGCGCCAAGAAGTTCAGTTCCCTGCCAGGGCACATGCCTGGGTGTGGGCTCAATCCCTAATGGGGTGTGTGTAGGAGGCAACTGAGCAATGATTGATGTTTCTCTCTCTCATCAGTGTTTCTCTCTCCCTCTCCTTTCCTCTCTCTCTTAAAACCAATAGGAACATATTTAACAAAACATGGTCCTCTTTATTTTTTAATTTTTAAAAATATATTTTATTGATTTTTTACAGAGAGGAAGAGAGAGGGATAGAGAGTTATGAACATCAATGAAAGAGAATCATCGATCAGCTGCCTCTTGCACACCCTCCATTGGAGATGTGCCCGCAACCAAGGTACATGCCCTTGACCGGAATCAAACCCGGGACCTTTCAGTCTGCAGGCTGATGCTCTATCCACTGAGCAAAACCGGTTTTGGCAACATGGTCCTCTTTAAAAAGTAGTAATAAAAGGGTGAATCAGGAGTGATTTTTTTCACCTTTTCCCAACTTTTAGAATATAGGTATATTACTATCAATAAAAATATAATTAAATAACAGAAAGAAGAATATTATTAGAAATTGGTCTTCATGTGACCCTCCCTGAGATCGGAGGCTATGTTTCTATAGAGTGGACCAAGAGGTATGCATTGTAACATGTGTTTGCTTACTTTGCTTGGAACAATTTTTTCTTTTAATGAGAAATGGAGCAACTTGGATAGTCATGAAACCAGCGCTTGTTCAGTTACTTTCATTTCTAGCTCATGTTTAAATGTCTGATTGTTCCAGGGTATCTGAGAGGCTCTTAGAGCCAGGAGCAAGTCTGGGGCTAAGTGAGGAAGGCTCTTGGGCAGTTCATGCTTGAGAGTCATCAGAACCATAGACAACATGAAGCACGAGGAAAGGCAAAAAGAGCACAGAGATGGGCTGCACTCTGAAACAGAGCAAATCAGGATCCCCAGACTTGTCTTCCTGGCAATTTTCTCATTTTCAAGTTCAAATATCAAGTGTAATTTAGTTTATTACTGGCAGAATTTAGCACAAGAGAGATAGGATGGACTTCTTTTAAGAAAAAAGGAACAAAAGTATTCATTTATAGAGGAAAATGGGCCAGTATTATTCACTGGAAATTCTTCCTGTATGAAATATAATTGCATTGTATTAAAGGCCTTATTATTTTTTGAAAATCAGTTTACCAAATTTTATCATCACAACCATCCAATGAAGTAAGTGGCATTACTTACCCCCATTTTTCAGATTAGACATTGAGGTTCAGAGAGGTTAAGTGACATTCCCAAAGTCACACAGCTAGAGTGAGAAGAAGAGCTGGTCTGGTTGAGTCCAGAGTCCATGTCCTTCACCTCCACATTCATGGTGGTATCTGATGTACCTTTGTATATATGAATCTTACACAAAATAATTCATAAGTGGATAAAATCTTATTAAAATTAAACTTCCTTTCTCACTCTCTTTCTTCCTTCTTTTCTTTCTCCCCTGTCCCTCCCCTGCAGATGACAAGTGTGTGTGTGTTTGTGTGCGTGCATGTGAGGAGGGGGGTACACACTCATGCACTTACATGATGAGAAGGACCAGCCATTTACCTGGATAAGGCGCACAGGGTTCTGCATGATGTCCTCTCCTCCGAAAAGGTAGAGTCTTTGGTCTTTCACAGCGACTGCAGGGTGCAGAACCCCCACTGGCATGCTGGCCACGTTCTCCCAGGCGTTGCAGATGCTGTCATATCTCTCCATGGAGCCCAAGACCTCCTGTCCGTCCCCAATCCCCCCGATAGAGAAGATGAAGTTCCTATGGGAGGTGCTTCTGTGGGAGTAGCGAGCCGCCAGCATGGGCTGCCCCAGCCTCCACTGATTGAGTTTCAGGGAGAAGATGTAGACGTGGCGACTGGGCTCACTCTTCTCTGTGCCCACGGCCATGCCTCCCAGCACGTAGACGCTGCGGTGCAAGGCAACGGCTGCGGCCTTGTAGAGCCGGGTGGGCAGTTTGGCGAGGCTCCGCCATTGGCCTGTCTGTCTGTGGTACAGCAGGACGTCCCTGGTGGTCTGCTGGTTGTCCTTCCTGCCACCCAAGAGGATGAGGAAGTCCTGGTAAGAGTTCCTTGGGGGCACGTGCCATGGAGGTTGGAGGTCTGGGACGTTGGCGGTGCCGTACAAAGAAGACATTTGCCTCCTGGCCATCTCCAAGACGATCTGGCACGCGGGCGAGGACTGGAGGAGGGCATCGTTGGCGATGAAGTGGTGGAAGAAGGCTGGGTGGATGTACGGAAGCCTGACGAGCTTGAACAGTTCCTGCATGTATCGCTTCCGGGTCTGGAGGTCATGCCTGACCCAACCCATGAAGGCCTCAAACACCTTTTCCTCCTCCCCGCACAGCCCATCATCCCCCAGGTAGTCTCTCAATTCCAAGGCGCAGAGCTCCTTCAGGTCAGCAGATGCAGCCACCTCTGGGAAGTACGTCAGGGCCACCTCCCTGGCTGACTTCTTGAGGGTCTCGCAGCTGAAGATCTCCGAGAGTCTGATCATGCCCAGGCAGTTGCTGGGGGTCAGCTGGCTCTGCAGATAGGAGGAGCAGGCCTCAAAGAGCTTGGGGTACTGCAGCATGGAGGCAGCCTCCATCAGGGGCAGAACGTTCTCAGCCGTGATGGGCACCTCCCCCGTGTATACATACAGGACGAGCTGCTCCAGGGTCGAGGAGTCAATGCCTCTCAGCTGGACCCTGGCCTCCACGCTCTCCCGGAAGTTGCTGCAGAACATGGCCCGGAAGTAGGGGCTGCTGGAGGCCAGCACGTTTCTGTGGCAGGGGACCTCCCCAGCCCCAGCACAGATGATTACATCAGTCAGGGTTCTGCTTTGTCTTAAGCCATTGAGCTGCCTCAACAAGTCAGAGGAGAAGTCGTGGTCCTTGAAGAGCAGCCCATCTGCTGAGTCTTTGTCCATCTTGCAAAGACAGGGAGGAGTCCCAAGAGGGAGCACGTGCTGGAGGGGTTAGCTGTGGCAGCGCGGAGACTTAGAGCATCTGTGTCCACTCACCAGTGTGTGTGGGTATCGCCAGGAATATCGCTTAGTGAAGATTGCAGAGGCCACCCACACTCCAGACCTCACAGCAGACACCTCTCTTTTTGGTTATGATTGTTCTGAAAGGGAACAGGCAAATAACATCTTTAGATAATCTGAGGAAAAGCAAGCAAACCAAAACAAGGAAGGCTGTAGGAAGTTACTGATTGCCAGGGGCTGGAATGTTAGCCGGAAGCAAAATAACAACCCGTGCACTTGACCAGGGGAAGTCTGTGAGCCTTTCTCCAGATTCTCAGCCTTCTGTTATTTAGTGAACTCATCTCGGCATCTTTCTGGGGGTTAGTCATTCCCCGAGGTTCTCATTCTGGGGGGTGTGGCCCTCTGGTAACCAGACAGAAACGAGGGATGAAAAGGGACCTTTGCAATACATGTATTGAAACATGACTTCACACATTCGTTAGGGTTTTGTTTTAAAGATGGGATAAATAGAAAGCAGAGCCCCAATAGCACCCTCTTATTGCTCGCCACCTGGCAGGCCACTGGGGAAGAGTGAAGCGTTAGAGACATGTACCTTGCTTGGCTGCAGGGAGAGCCCCCGGTGCCTGGTCCGACTGGTCCTGCCGGAGTTTCCACCTCTGGCTCCAAGTGAAACCATAAACCCGGGCCTTTCCTTCAGTTGACAAGTGATTGGTCCTGGGAGAGTTCTGGACTTGTTTATGCTACAGGCGCTTTCACAGTTTTCTAGAGCTTTGCGACAGAACTGTGGGCAGGGAGACGGTGTATACATTCCAGGGCTAAGAATAGCTGCATATGTATTTTCCACTGTGAGGACATGTGACTTTCCAGTTGCCGTTTGCAGCAACCCCGGGGCCAGGAGGGCCGCGCATGCCCACACGCCTTGTTTCCTTGGCAAGTGTTTACATCGGCATAAATAGATCCGAAGGGACCGCTTCTCTCAGAGAAGACTTTGCAGCCTGCTTGGAAGCACCCTGAGTCCCTTGTCCTAAAAGTGCCTGGGAACTCTAGATGTCTGTAAACAGGTTGCCGGGGCCTGGCGTAGTTCCTGACGATGGCTCTGGGCACGTGGAAGGGGGTGGGTGGTCACAGGGAAGCCAGAATGTGGGCTGGGGTGCTGCTGGTTGGGTTTCTATTGCCAGCACCGGCGTGGCAGGATCATTGGCGAAGGCTGTGATTGCCTCCTCTGGGCTCTGAGAGGATGGGATCCAGGACACAAGCTGTTTTGCGTATGTGACTTGTGTGAAGCATCCCAGGGGTTCCAGCTCTGGAAGACCAAGCCTTTGCTGGTCCTCCTGCCCCCAGAGGCTCCGTCTGAAAGTGGTGAGGGCGGCAGCCCTCTTCTGCATCGTGCTGCCTCTCCCAGACTCCGGCGGGTGGTTCTTCGTTATTCTTTTTATAGGTCTGGCTTGCTTTTCTGTTTTACTTTTCTTTTTTTCTCCTTTTAGAAAGGCTTGTGCTAGAGGCAGGAGGCAAGGTTTATTGCTCCAGGCTGTTCCAGACTGAGAGAGAAAGAGGGAGGGAGGGGAAGAGAGAGATGGAGGTGGGAGAGGGAGAAGCAGCAGCAGAGGGAGATGGGGATGGGTGGGAGGGAGAGAGAGAGAGAGAGAGAAGAGAAAAGAGAAAGAGAGAGAGAGAGAGAAGAAGAAGAAGGAGGAAGAGGAGAAGGAGGAGGAGGGAGAGAGGGAGAAAGGGAGGAAGGGAGGGAAGGAAGGAGAGGGGAAAGGAGAAGAAGGGAAGCAGGAAGAGGAGTGTTAGTCATCAAATGTAAGAATCAGAACCAGGACAGAAGGTGATAGAACCCAGGATGAGTAAAAAGGACCTAGGTCTCTCCTGCCCCCATGTCCAGAGAGTTCCTGATTGGGGATTCCAGCAGTGAGTGGCAGGGAAGCCAGTCTTTCTCTCCTTGTTGGTCTTGCTTGGACTATTGAAACATCCTCCCAAGCCAAATTTTCCCTTTGTTCCAAGTTTCTCTCTTTCCAATACACCCACCTGTCCCCACCAGTGTAACCCTGGAAAAAGCAAATCAGAATCTGTCAGTCCCCTACATCAGGCCCTTCAATGGCTCCTATGTTTGCAGGATGAAGTTCAGACTGTTTAGCAGGAAATAGATTGGTCTCCTGATAGTTCCCACTTAAATTTTTTATGCTAGCTTCATCAGACAACTTGCAGATTCTTGTATGTGTCCGGCCGGTCCTTGTTGGGAAGGCTGGACTGACCTGGCCTGTAGGACACTCCAGGGCAGGACGGAAGGAGTATCTGTCATTCATAGTTGCATGGATCAGCCCCAAAAAGTCCAGAAGGTCAATGGCTGTCAAGTATATTAACAAGTCATTGGGGCCAGGGGCCTCGGAGCCAGAATTAGGAGCAGAAGACCTGAGCCACGGGGTCAGAGACCTATAGCGATATAACCATTAATTAGAATCCCTTGAGGAAATGGGGCAAGGAGCTGAATGTCCTCATTTATTTTAGGTTCCCATACATTCAGACCCCAGACTCCCAAAGAATCACATAAAGTTAAGACAAAAGACTTCTGCAGTTTCTCTCCTGGCTGAGTGTGCTGGGCCTGGATTCTCATGGAAGGGCAGGCTGGCTCAGGTCAGCAGCAGGTCTGACAGCTGCAGGCAAGGAAGCCACCAACATGCTCTACATGCATGTCCAGGTCCAGTCCTCCTATTGCCATCGGGACAAGACGTAACTTTCACACTAACCAGTGAACCATGGCAATGGGTTCCAGGGAGCTGTGTTTCAAGAACGTGCAGGTCTGCACGTAGAGGGCTGAGAGCCCCTTGAACGCTGGAAGGCTGTTCCTTGTTGTCTTGTGAGTACCTCCCATTCCCATAGTCAGTAGGTGAAGGAGAAAAATGGGGAGCAAATAAGGCCTCAGTGGACTGGATCATTAAAAGCTATAGGAAAGGACTTGCCTCTGGCTATGTACATGAGTTCCTGCCTTCTGGTGTCTGTATCTGTGTGGCTGGGTGTGTTTTTTGACCAGCTTATGCAAAGCTGAGCAAGGACTTTGTACTTCAGACAAGGGCGGAAAGGTGGCCTACCCCTTGATTCTGGTGTTGCCATGACGACCGTGCTCTGAGACCTAAAAGCCTCTCCCTGCATTCACTAGGCCAGTATTGCGAATGACAGCACCATGTCTTCATATTTCCCCCCCTACGGAGGGTAAGGGGAATACAGGCGAACAGAGATAGCAACGGGACTGTCCGTGGGTTGTTGGTATACAGCCTGCTGTCAGGCCCCCTTCCTCCCGGAGAACTATATCCTGACTTGATACAGATTAGCTTTCTGGGCCCTAAATCATCTTGGGAAGAAAAAAACTAATACGATCAAAGATGCCTTCTTGCTCTCTCACTTTAACACTGTAGGTCACCAAGAATGATACACTGCTTGGCCTCCCTGGTCCCCAGTAGGTGCTCCTGATGGTGAGGTTGGCCTTTAGGTGGGAATTTCCTCCCTCCAGGTCACTAAGGCATAACTTGGCAATTTTATGCTGGAGTATAGAAGGTGGATGACCTATAGAGAGATGTCTGTTGAGAGGGTGAACTTTACTCCTAGAGTAGCATTAATTAGAATCCCTTGGGGAAATGTGAATTGAGCAAGGTAAGGTCTAATTAATTAAGGCTTCATCCATCCATCCATCTATTCACCCACTTGTCCGTCCATCCATCCATCCATCCATCCATCTATCCATCCATCCATCCATCCATTGAATAACACAAGGCCCTTTGCCCTTGTGGTACTTACCATAAGGGAAGTAGGGAAATAGACAAATGATTTAAATGACCTAAATGTTATGAAGGGATGCCTTTCTCAATCTTCGTCATTCCCTTCTCATCCCTGTCCCTTCATGAATTCTAAGTCCTCTAGAAAGAGAACCTTATACATGCATCTTTGGAAAGCTCTCCTATCAGGCTGAGTTTTAGTCATGTATTTTCGTCTCTCTCTCCTGTATTGCAGCTCCTTGAGGGGGAAGGAATAAGTCTACACTCCTGCCCCATGTTAGGAAAGGCACAGAGTGGAATTTGTTGACAGAGATTGACACTGGCCACTATTTGCTTACTTTGCCTTTTCCAAAATTTATATATTTTTACTAGTGGCTTTGTTTTAAGCTTTTATGACACCTTTTTAATCTATGTTTTCCAAATGATCAAAAATAAAGGTTAAATATTTTTCGACTTCCTGACAGGTAAGAAGCAGAATCTGAAATATTTTTTACTTCTTTCTCCCTGGTTTTTGTAAAGCTAACCCGGAATTTTTAGGCTCAGTTTGTTGTCATTAAATTATTTTATATACTGTATCTTATCTTTTAAGAATGATTTTTTGTTTTTGCTATTTGCATCATATTTACAACTGTTATTTAAACTTAGCTCCCTACTCTGCTGATTTACATTTTCACTGCCAGTTCTGTTATGCCACCCTTTTTCCTTCTTAACGTGCTTGCTTAACTCTGACCCATCTTTTTTTTTTTTTTTTTTTTTTTTAAATATATTTTACAGAGTGGAGAAAGGGAGAGAGATAGAGAGCTAGAAATGTCGATGAGAGAGAAACATCGACCAGCTGCCTCTTGCACACCCCATACCGGGGATGTGCCCGCAACCAATATACATGCCCTTGACTAGAATTGAACCCGGACCTTTCAGTCCGCAGATTGACGCTCTACCACTGAGCCAAACCGGTTTTGGCTCTGACCCATCTTTTGATTAACTGGAGTTCCTTCACTCATAATATTTTGTTAGGAAGAATAGGGGAAAGGTGCATTTTTCTGAATCCTTCCTTATCCAAGATTCTCTTTTTTCCCCTTACCATCTACAAACAACAGCGTGGCTAGGTACAATAGTTTAGAGATCAAATTATTTTTTATTATAAACTTCCAATTATAAATAAGTCAAGGGCAT